TGCCTGAAGTGGTTTGGGGTTGGGTTTGTGTGGGTTTTTTTTTTTTAAATTTTTATTATTTGGCATGCATGGCAGTGGGAGCTGGAGATGCAGGCAGCAGGTTGTCTTTGTGTGGTGCTCCTTTGTGGACTGCAAAGAGCCAGGGCTGTGAATGGTTTCACTCCAGTGAAGGCTGCGTCAGCGTTTTCTGTCATACCCCTTTTTTTCTGAAGCACAGAGCTCTGCCAGCGTGATTTCTCTGAGCTAACTGCCTGGGGACAAAGACTGACCGCAAGTAAGAGCTGTCACTGCTGGTGCCTGGGGAAAGAAAAAGTCATAGAAACGGTTCAATACCTTTTCATCCAGCTGCTTTGTTAATAAAAGCTAAACCTTACCTGTCTACGCTGCTCCTCAGCTGGAACAAACCAGGCAACTGCTCCAGGTGTGTCGGTGATGCAGAGTGTTCGTGCCCATCTGGAGTACTCTGTATAAATTATTTATTTAACTAAAATTTCAGTTAAGCTCCCAGCATAAACAGAGGTCTACAGTTGCTTCTTAACTACAGTCCAGAGATTAGTTTGTTCTTGAAGTAAATAGACTGGCGGGTCTGCTAATAAAAGCACCGCTGGAGATGTCTCCTCGCATGGAAACAGTCTTTGAAGCAAGATAGTCTTTTATATCACCATTTGTCAACTACTGTCTACTGAGCAGGATCCAGGATTAACCCACAGCCGGCTTTAGCCGTTCCTCCAGCGCGCTACAAGCTACACAACACACTCAGTAATGGGATCCAGACCTTAAATCTGTGTTGAAGCATCTCCTCACAGTGGTCAATCCTAAATCAGGCTCTAGGCACTGAACTCCTTCCATGCTCCACAAGGCCCTCCCATGGCTGTGGTTGCTCTAGAGGGAGAATTCCCCCTCCTTAGCTCTGTCTGCTGTTTCTCCTGGCCTTGCCCCCTGCGGTCTAACAGGTTACTTGAAAACTTACTTCCCTGTCCATGGGGAGTTTTTATAACTTGATTAAAGCTCTGTAGTCTGCGGGGGACGAGGTCTTCAGCCCTCAGATGATTCCTGTGAGCTAACCTGCAATCTCCTCCGCTCCATCAACATCCTCTGCGAAGCTCAGTTCAGCGTGATGCTGCTTGTGTGATGCTGTAATGTCACAGTAACATCTCCTGGCATTTCAGCATCTGCAAAAGGCCTGTAGATCCCAGACTGTCTCTGTCTTGTGGCTGCTGCAACACGCTGGCATCCCTCTTGCCATCTTGCATCTGCTTTCCAAAGCGCATCTCTTCCCTGCTAGGGACAGGTCTCGGGCCAAGGTCTTTGCATCCTACTGTGCCTGTTAAAACGGTGCGCTCGCTTTGGGAGAATCAGCTTGAATCCCTGTTTCCAGGTCTGTTGGTCCAAGTGCAGTAGGTAAAACCCACTTCTCTTCAAAGCTGCTTTGGCCCTTCTTCCTGAGAAAACAACTCTTGCTGAAAAGCCAGCTCTTCTGTGAGCATGAGCTCACAAGGTTCAGGTTGGTGGTCTCTGAAGCTGGCAGATATTTTAAACTGCTCTTATTTAACCATCAACAGCAGTAGGGAGAGAGGTGGTGTGTCTCAGTGCTCCAAAAGAGTGTATCAGCAGGAGCCTTTCTGACTTAGAAGGCTCTAGGGAGACCTCATAGCAGCCTACCAATATCTGAATGGAGCCTACAGGAGAGCCAGAGAGGAAGTCTAGTGACAGGACAAGGGGTAATGGTTTTAAATTGGAAGAGGGGAGATTTAGATTAGATATTAGGAAGAAATTCTTCCCTGTGAGGATGGTGAGGCACTGGAACAGGTTGCCCAGGGAAGTTGTGGATGCCCCATCCCTGGAAGTGTTTTAAGGCCAGGCTGGTTGGGGCTTTGAGCAACCTGCTCTGGTGGGAGGTGTCCCTGCCCATGGCAGGGGGGTTGGAACTTGATGATCTTTAAGGTCCCTTCCAACCCAAACCATTCTATGACTTGATGGCTCAATTCCCTTCTCTTCCCTTCTTTTCAGAATACGAAACATTATGAGCTGTTGAACTACAGTGAGCATGGGACGACCGTGGACAACGTTCTGTATTCGTGTGACTTCTCGGAGAAGATGACGCCCACTCCTCCCAGCAGTATTGTTGCCAAAGTGCAGAGTGTGATAAGTGAGTGTTGAGACATGGCCAGTCCCACGTGCCACCACAGGGAAGCTGTTAGAGGGGGGACAGGAGCGGGTGCAAATCAGCTCCTTGCTGGTGCCCCTTGTTCTGCAGCGTTCTGTACCTCTTGTAAAAAGGGGGATCCTCTTCACTGGCCTCAGCCTGGGTTACACAAGCTACAGCCATCCCATCCCTGCAGAGCTTACTTCTACTCTCCACCTGAACAGCTTCCTCTCTTTGGCCACAGAAATAGATGTGGAAATAAACACCTCTACCTCTCCAGGGAGATTCTCGTTTCCCTTTGATCAGCCGCTCGCCGCAGACAACTAAAATACCTCGTGGCTGGAGGATCTTACCCCTGAGGAACCTCAGCAGTAGCCCCTGTTGATGAAAAAAAACAAGTTGCCTCCGGCCTGCCTGAATCTCACGTGTTGTTTTTTTTTCTCTTTTGCAGAACGACATAAAAGCAGAAAACAGGAAGAGGAGCCGCATGAAGAAGCCGCTGTGATGAATTCGCAGGCGCAAGGGCAGCATCGGAAACCCTGTAACTGCAAAGCCAGCAGCTCCAGCTTAATAGGGGGCAGTGGGGCTGGCTGGGAGGGCACGGCCCTGCTCCACCACGGCAGTTACATCAAGCTGGGCTGCCTGCAGTTTGTTTTCAGCATTACCGAATTTGCGACCAAACAGCCCAAGGGGGACACTGCCTTAGTACAAGAAATGGACTTGGAAGAGAAGCTTTCTCTTAAACCCCACCAGGTGCCCGTGCTGCGGTCCAACTCCGTTCCCTAGGAATTTTTAGGAAGAGAACTTTGGAGTAAGGAAAAGGCCCTCAGACTCTTGGCAATGCAAAAATGTACAAAACCGAGGTGGGATTTTCTATGTCGGCCCAGAGACTGTTCACACGCCGTTTGCATGAAATGAAGAACGTTTAACTTTTTTTAATTTTTCTTTTTTGCTCAAGTTTTAGGGGCATTTGCACATATATTTGTACTATACATTTCATTTTAAAAGGAAAAAACTGCAGTGAGAGCAAGACGCGTCAGAGCGAGGGGCGACCGCTGTCTGACTCAAGGACTCTCTCTGACAGATAGTTCCCATGCAGTTGTAAAATAATCAGAAACTTGTTCTATTTTGTGCCAGTGACAATAGTTTTATATTAAAAGAGAAATACAGTTTTCATACAGCAAATCTATACAATATCATTGTTTTATTTAATGTAAAGAAGCGCTCTTCTTCCCACAGTTATTTTTTTTCCCATCCCTCCCTGCTATGGTTGCACTACAAGTAGCTACTGTGTATTATGGGCAGTGAGAAACGAGTTCTTTTCCTGGTGTCCATCCTATTTTTTATTTCAAATAAGGAAAAGTGTTGGATTCTGTGTAAATACATCAGTGATGGCATTTTTCAATGTTTTAAAGCTGTGTACAGTGCTACATGTGGTATGACGTTCCTCAAATTGTCTATTGTAGCAGATCGTTTGTCGTAACCTGTCTGTCTCTTTTGTTTATATGCCACCTCCCCGCAGCAGAACAGCTAGTTCCACTGTACATAGTAATTGTAACGTTTTAGACTTTACAGAAACTTTCCTGTATTCTGTATATAAAAAAAAAATACTTCACATTCTGTTTTCTGACTGTCTGTCTTAACTCTTGTCACCACAACCTGGGGCTTTTCCCAGAGTGTCTGACCTGCAGAAGAGGAGCCTGAGCTGTGGGAAGGGGCTGAGCCTGGATGGAGGGATGTGGGAGGGTGCTGGTGGGCCAGGATCATAGGAATGTCCAGGTTGGAAGGGATCTTTAAGATCATCGAGTCCAACTGTCAACCTAACACTGCCAAAACTGCTGTTAAACCATGTCCCTCAGCACCACGTCTACGTGTCTTCTAAATATCTGGTGGGTTCAGGTGGTGGGTTCAACCCCTTCCCTGGGCAGCCTGCTCCAATGTTTGATAACCCTTCTGGTGAAGAAATTTTTCTTAATATCCATCCTAAACGTTTCCTGGTGCAACTTGAGGTCATTTCCTCTTGTTCCATTGCCTGTTCCTTGGGAGAAGAGACCCACCCCCCTGGCTAAACCGTCCTTTCAGGGGGTTGTAGAGAGTGAGAAGGTCTCCCCTCAGCCTCCTTTTCTCCAGGCTGAACACCCCCAGCTCCCTCAGCTGCTCCTCACAAGACCCCTCACCAGCTCCATTGCCCTTCTCTGGACCCGCTCCAGCACCTCAATGTCTTTCTTGTCATGAGGGGTCTGAAACAGAACACGAGGATGGGGGACTGGAAGGTCGTAAAATGGGTTGGGAGGGACCTTTGAAAGCCATCTTGTCCAACCTCCCTGCAATGAGCGGGGACATCTTCGACCGTGAGTGTGTCCAAGGATGGGGCATCTACAGGAGAGGTGGGCTCTGGGTTTAGGGATGACAGGGTGCACCCCTTGCCCTGGGGGCATTGTTCCATGCAGCAGTGAGCATTCTCGGGGCTGGCAGCACAGGAGAAAGGCTCCAATCTGTGGGGCAGGAGGCTGCGCTGACCCACATCAGGGGTCGGTCTCTTTTCTCAAGTCACAGGCGACAGGACAAGAGGAAATGGCCTCAAGTTACACCAGGGGAGGTTCAGGCTGGATATTAGGAAAAATTTTTTTCACTGAAAGGGTTATCAGGCATTGGAATGGGCTGCCCAGGGAGGTGGTTGAGGCACCATCCCTGGAGGTGTTCAAAAGACGGGTTGATGTGGTGCTGGGAGGTATGGGTTAGTGATGATGCTCCTTGTTTGTTGTGTGGGTGTCTATTTTTGTCAGTTAGGTTGACGGTTGGACAAGATGATCTTTAAGGTCCCTTCCAACCTAGAAGATTCTGTGATTCTGTAATGAGCAGGGACATCTTCGACTCGATCAGGCCCAACCTGACCGTGAGTGTGTCCAAGGATGGGGCATCTACAGGAGAGGTGGGCTCTGGATTTAGGGGTGACAGGGTGCACCCCTCGCCCTGGGGGCATCATTCCGCGCAGCAGTGAGCGTTCTCAGGGCTTGCAGCACAGGAGAAATGCTCCAATCTGTGGGGCAGGAGGCTGCGCTGACCCACATCTCCTCCTCTCCCGACCGGGGAGCCCCCAGTCCATCATGTCGGCAGAAAAATCCCTTTTGCCAACCGCTGCCGTCCGCCCCCCGCCGCGCTCGGTGCCGATAACCCCACGCTTCGCTTGCCAAACCAGCGGCCCTTTGCCCCCCCCGCTCCCCTCTCCCCGCCCCGCTCCTTCCTCCCAGCCCCGGGGGCGGGACAGGGCGGGGGGTACCGGTACCGGTACCGGTAGGCATCACAAGGGCAGCCCCAGGACACCCCTATGGGCACCCCCAGAACACCCCCATGGCACTCCTCGCTGCACCCCAGGGGCACCCCAATGGGACATCCCTAGATATCACATAAGCACCCTCAGTACACCCCCATGGGTGCCCTCAGGGAGCCCCCAGGCACCCCCAGGAGACCCACATGGCACACGACAGGACACCCCCAGTACCCCGAGACACAGGCACCCTGCATCATGAGGGCTTCATGGGCTCCCAGGACCCCCAACACCCAGCAGCCCCAGGGCACCCCGCAGCCCCCCCTCACCCTGCTCAGATCCAGCCCGGGGGCGGGACAGGGCGGGGGGTACCGGTACCGGTACCGGTAGGGATGGGGTGGGCTCTGCTGGGTGTGGGGCTACTGCTGGCCCTTTACACGCTGCTCCGGTACGGGCTG